CTGGTGAGAAAAAGTACAAAGAAAAGCAAAAGTATAAATTAAAATACCTAAGGTTAGACGATTCAAAACAGACAACTTCATGAACTCAAAGCTCCTGGAGACTAAGATGGTATCTGTGAGCCCTGGAAACCCTTCAGGTTTTAATCCTGTTTTAAAAGTCTCTCTTTTTCACAAATTTTAGCCTTTCCATCAGACATAAATTCCCCAGAATAGTCAAATATAAAAACAGAAAGAAAGATATAATCATGGGGAATCTACTATTGTTTTTAGGGATAAAGTAGAAAGGGAAGGAAAAAGGGTGTGGGTTTTCTGGTCTATCTGGCCTGAAGAAAAATCTGCTATTGGCAGATGAATCTGAAATATAAAATAAGCTGCCATTTACATCCACTTAAAGAACTTTACATCCATTAGAAACTTTAGGACCAGACTCACAAATTTTCAGGTAACAAGATCATAAAAGAGTTCTAAGTTAGAATAAACATCACCTCCAAAGGGACTTTGAAGACCCAGGATCACCACATGGTAACTGTGAAAAGAGGAATCAAAAAGGCTAGAATTGTGCATAAGGAGGCAGTCAGACAGTGTTGCTTACCTTCTCATGATCCTGTGGAGTGACTTGGTTCTGCCCAGGACTAAAGCCACCAGGCTGGCTTCCACCCTGTATACTCGCTCCTTGCATGCCTGTTCCCTGCATGACTGGGACCTATGTGCACAAAGAGAAAAGAGAGATTTTTGGCATTTTTAATGTGTAGGTAACCTGAATTCAGTAATAATGTGAAAACTTATGATCTCTATACAGATATGAGTAAAAAAAGTAAATCAGTGACTCTGAAGATCATTTCTACTGTTAGCAATAGCAGAAGGCAGGGTTTATCCAGAGATCAACTAGCAAGTTCGACATATTTGCTTACAACAGCTCCAGCATCATCAACAAATATCACACAGCACAACTGGATACCACTGAATTAATGAAAATTCAGCCAAATAAGCACAGGGAAAACTGACAGCACCCTGGAAACTAGTGCTCACTGGAAACACAAATGAAAGCAGATAGAGTCTAGAAAAAATGTATGCTGGTCTACTGGGGAAGTTACATTCACAGGGCCACTCCCTACCCTAGTTCAATCAGACACAGGGAGTTTGTCCCAAAGGGCCCTATCCCATAAGTGAGGCACAGTTGTTCATAATGTCAGAGAAGCAGAAAGACAATGGGAAGGATTCCGGGAAAAGGTTGCTATTAGCCCAACATTTGCTGTTTATAGCTTTCCATAGAGAACATATGGCAAGACGCTCTCTGCAAAATGCAGACCAAGAAATATGACTGACTTGAGTGAAAGAACAAAGTACAGTAATATCATACTTATTGGTATTTACGATCTTCAATGAGTTTGACCCTTTGCAAGACTACCAGAACCCAAGGAAAAGATCTCTTGAGTACCAAGTGTAACTGTTAGAATGTCCCTATACAAGCATTACATTCACACTCAGGCATTCACCCAGGGCTTAGGTACTCTCTTAATAAACACATATTGTTAACAAACTTGTTACCTGCTTACCCAGCAGATTAGAAGCGGCAAAACATAAAAGAAATATGGATAAACAACTGTTAGCAGCAGATACCACTTCAGCAATATGAAGAGCCAGGTGACAGCCTGACAGTGAAGGAGACCAGAAACCAAACAGGAAATAACTATGTTTTATATTATAGCATAGACAATAATGAATCTATTTAATGATGACCTTGAGTAGTCAAAAGTGATTAAACTATTTTTTTGTATCTTGTTTAAGAAGAAAGGAAATATCAAAAACATCTTATAATTTTTCATCTAAAAAGTTAGAAAACTTGGTAGAATAGTTCCATTATCCAGAACATTCACTTACATGCATTAACTAATTTCCCAAAGACACTGGATAGATGAAACATGAGTACAGATTTTTACAGACTGCTAGAATACTATCACTGTTCTGTTTGTTATCAATACTGAATCCAGAGACAAGCTTCCAGAGACCAGTCTGAATACTAACGAGCTATTATGGATCTGAAACACCTATGAGTATCATCATTTAAAAAATTTTTTTAATTTCCATAGGTTATTGGGGAACAGGTAGTGTTTGGTTACATGAGTTTATAGCAGCACAATTTGCAATTGAGTATAATCTTTTTGAAGCTTTAATTTAAGGTATTGGAATTGTGATCTAACCACTCAATAATGGCCATTTTAAATTTCTAGGTATGCTTGTTCTAGGCAGATAAGTACTAGCAAGAGTGACCATACATCTTGGTTTCCCTAAGACAGTCCCAGTTTCTGCTTTTGCCTCCAAGTAAAGTAACAGCACTTTCTTTCATGTTCTCCTTTAGATGATAAATTATATAATCATCTGAGTAATAATAAGCCTTTTGCCCACAAGTTTCTAACTAGGTGGACTAGAGTTAATTTTAAAATCTAATTTAAAAGTATGAATTAAGGACATGTTGTTAAGGAAAAAATAAAAGGTACAGAACAGTAAAAGGGGGAAAATAAGAATATCTATTTATATTTTCTGGAAAGTGACATTAAAAATCTAATAAAAGTGATTAACTACAGGAGCTAGGGGGCCACAGGGGAGACAGGCATAGGAGAGGAAGCAAGTTTAAAATGTGGTCTCGCTATGTTTTATAGGCTGCCCTCCAACTCTTGGGCTCTACTGATCCTCCTGCCTCAGCCTCCAGAGTAGCTGGGACTACAGGATTCTACCCTGGCTTTTTTAAGATGGGAGTCTAACATGTTGCCCAGGCTAGAGTGCAGTGGCTAGTCACAGATGCAAACAGAAAGCACTACAGCCTCAAGCTCCTGGGCTCAAGTGATCTTCCTGCCCCAGCCTCCAGAGTGCTGGGACTACAGGTGCATGCCACCACATTTGGTTTGAAGTTAAGTTCTTTATGTATCTTTTATAGATGAACAAATGTATTTATTTATTTATTTATTTATTTATTTATTTATTTATGAGACGGAGTTTCACTCATGTTACCCAGGCTGGAGTGCAATGGCGCGATCTCGGCTCACCGCAACCTCCGCCTCCTGGGTTCAGGCAATTCTCCTACCTCAGCCTCCTGAGTAACTGGGATTACAGGCACGCACCACCATGCCCAGCTAATTTTTTGTGTTTTTAGTAGAGACGGGGTTTCACCATGTTGACCAGGATGGTCTCGATCTCTTAACCTCGTGATCCACC